TCGTAGTCGTAGCAAATGGATGTGTTTTACCAAAACGTTTAACACATGGTAGTGGAGCCAACAAAGCATCCAGAATTAGCTTGTGATTAGCATGAGAACACAATGGATTTCTGATGGGAGGGTGGGTAGAAGATCCAGAATCATCCTGTGATTAGCATCCAAACACAATGGATTTCTGATGATAGTGGAGCCAACAAGGCATCCATGGTTCACGACGTTTGCCGCCCACTCATTTGACCACCGCAGAGCCTTTGTTTGGAACCATGCGCACGCTCTTCCTTCAACGCGACAAAGGTCCGTCCCGCCAGGGCTTCTTCTGAGACAGTGCTGCGGGTTTTCGGAAGGGCTGCCGGAACAGCCCCCGCTTCACGATGGGAGATTGAAGGGAAGGGCCCCCCCCCTGGGAAACAAAAAACCCTTCAACTGTTTGACCATCTTTGAAGCGGCCCAGGGGGAGGGGGGAGCACAGCTCCTCCCGGTAAAGGGCCGCGAGCTCAGAGGCGTCTCTTGTCGTTGCTTTTCTGTGACTCGTTACTGTTGGCTGCACTCTTATTTTTGCCAGAAGTGCGTACGTCTTCTGCTGCAAGTTTGGGCTCAATGTCGCATTCCTGCACGACATGTCCCGAGGCCCGCAATATGTCTTTTTGACTTTGCTCCGTTTGACAGTCAGTGCCGTGCGTCCGGTGCTGTCCTTGTTTTTCGCTGCGCTAGGGAGCTTGCCCGCCCGCTGGGCCGATGACCCTGACGCCGAGGCTTCCAGTTACTTCCGGTTGCCTTCCCTCTTCTTTTTTGTTTTGCTGGAGGAGTTCAACCCCATGGCCTTCCTGCACACTTTTTGGGCATGCAGTCTTACTGTGAAAACACCGGCTGGGGCCTAAGCTGCGCGCCAGTTTTAGTTTTGCTTTCATTCTCCACGTCCTGTTTGCAGGTGGGCTGGATCCGTGTGCCATATCACGAGTCTGCCAGGCGCTGCGCCACGTCAGCTGTGGGGATTAGATCCCTTTTCTCAATGGATTATTACCCTTTTCTCAAGGGGCTTACCCCTTTTGTCAAGGGTTCAAAGTGATGTTTGAGATAGAAAAATGGCTGAAAAAATCAATAAAGGAATCAATAGCAAAATCAATTTAAAAAGCAATTAAAAAATCAATATATTTCTTATCACAAATCTATTGATAAAATCAATAAATTTTGCTATTGAAAATTTCAATTAAAAACAATAGGTTTTAATTGATTAGAATCAATAGAGGATGCTCAGGGCATGCTTTTTCTTTTGTTCTCTCGCCGATTCTGGTATCTTCTTGTATGAGCGCTGACAGCGCACCAATCTCGTAGCTCGTGCTTTCGTTCCATTGGAGTGGCTGCCAGGTCTTTCTTCTAACGTGGCGTGGCCGCCATTGTTTCCAAGTGTTCTGCTCACTCTGTTCTGCTTTGTCGCTCGCTGTTTGCGCTCGCCAGGTTACCTGCTCACCGCCAGGGTGGGGCGCGACGCCTGCGTACGCACAGTTTTTCTTCTCTGCCCAGCGTCCGCCTTGCCGTGGCAGAGAAGCTCAGTACCGCGGCATGCGGGAAGCCAAGAGGCGCTGAGGGATAACGCTTGTCAACTTGCAACTGTCTTCCACATTGCCGACATCTTGTGCCACGATATGCAGTCTGGTGGTACAAGTGAAATCAAAGGAGTAGTATACTCGTTCTAGCAGTTAGTAGTCTTAATAAACTATTCGTCGTACTGGTTGTCGTAGTCGTAGTAGCAGTGTAGTAGTATAGTAGTCGTCGTCGTAGTCCTAGTAGTAATTTAATAGTAATTTAATAGTAGTAGTAGTAGTAGTAGTAGTAGTAGCAAGTAGTAGTAGTAGTAGTAGTAGTAAGTAGTAGTTACGAAAGCCAGCCTTCGTAGAAGGCGCTAGCGGAGTTGTGTTTGGCGAACGAAGTGAGTAGTTAGGGGGTCTGGGGGGGTGGCCCGGGAAAGGTACACGTAAACTCGGCACATGCTGGGGGAGGAGGGTGCTTCGAGGGAAGGTTTTTGAGGTTGTGTTGGAGGTGATTTTTGAGGGGTGGTGATGCAAGAAATGCAGTCTGCATCATTTGCATCATCTGAATGGAAAGGTGTAGTTGGCGTCAACCGCTCGATAACCTCTACACACGCACAGCAATCCACAGCTTTGAAGTCTCATTCGTGCTTTGAACTCGTATAGGTGTGTAAGAGGTATAGCAACATAGGGTATATGGCGCGCATGAGGCTTCAAAGCTGTGGTTTTCAAGCTACATTCAAAGTGGCCTGAGACCAGGGTTTGCTGCCCTAAAACACTCTGTTCAGGCCACCTTGAAAATAGAGGTGTAGTTGGCACCTTGCCAGGTATAGAGACCCAGGGTAGCTATA